AAGATGTTCATGGTATCCTAGGGGAATAAAGAACTACAAGGCATACTCTGTATACTCAGAAAATACATGCCCTAATATGCATAATTTACAGGGCTGTGTTGTAATTTTCATAAATGTTAATAACTAAATTTTCTAGATCAAGATTTTATTTATAGAAAAGTCAAAAAACAAATGAAAATATATATGCCTTCTTTTTCATTTTTTTTTTTTTTTTGAGTGATGACAGTTCCTGTTAATATTAAGGTGAAAAAACCCTTTGGACCTTGAACTTTAAAGAAAATTTTTGTTTCATTCAACAAATTTATGTGTTGAAGATGCTTAGAGTGATTCTAAAAGAATAGTTTCTTTAGCTAAAAGACTAAAATCGTAAGTGATATTTTGCTTTAATAATTGAAGCCCAGGGTCCACTTTGCTACAAGTTTGTAGACCAAATGTAGAGAACACATGGCCTTCTGATAAAGATGGAGTTCACTATTTATAAACTAGTGATATATCCAAAAGGGGAAGAATAGCTTTTTACTGTAATGTGTTGCTAATGTTTAAAGTGTTGCTTCTCTGATATTATTGCTTAAATTTCCAATGGTGTAAATTAGACCTTCTAATCCTTGCCTCAGCAGTGAGCAATAATTGAGGATATTTGATGCTTTTTATCCACATGGGAGAATGTTCCGCATAATTCAGAAGCAGCAAATCTCTGCATTCAGTTTATTTATATTGCATCTTTTAGTTTTTATATTTTGTGAAGGGAAGGAATGGTTAATCATATTCTCTTAAGTGACCAATAACAGAGAAATAAATTTAATGAGGAAATAAATGTGAATAACCTACATTAATAGGCAATCCTTACATTTGAATTTGGTTTGTTTTCTTTCAGCAACTGTATTACTGCAAATCTTCATAACCCTCTTGGCTGATTTTTAGAAGCATATAATCATATATCTTATTTCTATCATCTTTTCTTTTTTTTTTTTTAAATGTCAAAGCACTTTTAGTTCATCTTTTAGTTCTCCTTTGGTTCTGAATCAAATGAAGAAATCAAACATGAGGGTAAAGGGGGCAATATTATTAGTTTGTTAGGAATGTCATATAACACAAGCAGGTATTATATGTCATGGTGTTATATATAAATCTCTTCACTGGGTTTATAACTTTACTGTCAAAATTCACCTGAGGGTGACGCTCCATAGGTAAGAAATCTTAATGGAAGAGAGATTTACAAAACCAAGCCTTAAAGAAAACACCAGAGAGTGTTTCTAATTTTCTTAAGCACAATTTTTAGATCTGTATTCCCTCTAATACAGCACTATGATTTTTAACACTAAATTTGACAGGTAGTAAATCTCATTATTACTGAGCATATGAAAAAATATATATATATAAGAGAGCTGGCATCTAAATATTTTGCTTTCACATTCATGGAATATTTGTTAACAAAGTTGAAAAAGATTTTAAAATGGTTCTGTATCACAGTTATACCTCTAATAAACTAATTATATATGTTATTCCTACTCTGTAATTAGGTATAATTGCACTAATTGCATAAACAGACAATAATCAACCCGAAATTACTTTCTAAAACAAGAACATTTACACAACAATAATATCATTAAAAAACATAAGCCCCCAAGAATGAGACAAAGCGAGCACCACCAGGAAATTCAGTTAGGGATTAAGTGTCTAGTACTGTAGGTACAATAGGGACGCTGTCACCTTCCTTTTACCCTAATGCACTCCATTCCTCTTAGATATAGTATGTTTAAATCCTGAGCTGTGAATTTCTAGGCCTTTGTGCCTTTGTCTCACCACCTTAACATTTTTTAATGTAGTTTTTGTTGTGTAAATCTATATAAGTGCCATCACCCGTCAGCGGTGACATCTGATGGCATGAGGCCGACCCAGTCTGCATGTATTAGGGCTTTTTGTGTTTGTGCAGTGGAACCTACTTAAACAAATTCCAGTCGAAGGAATAAACCTGTAAAAGGAATACATTTTCCCTGTTCTGAAACAATAGCTCGGCGCTGAATGGATGCCCATGAAAAGAATAAATCACATAGAAGGATGAAGTTCTTCCCCTCCAAAAGGCAAGAGGAGGAAGGTAATGATGATTTGGACGTATTGAGGAAATAAATCTCTTGATTTACCGGCTTCATGGGCAGACCCATCTAGAACACATGCCAGGAAGCCTCCTTGACATCATTGCTAAATTTGGGATTGTCCAAAAAGAATTTAATATAACAAAAACAATGATCAAGAACTCCACAATGTCACAAAAAATATTGAAGTCCCCAACCAGGTGAGAGCACTCTTGGCGTTCCTTACATAGCTCTTTGATGCTGGGTTATTCTTTCGGTGCCTGACACTGGTAAACCAAATACCTGGAGGGCAGTGGCTAGAGGTGAAGTCAGCCTCTGTTAAAATGCAGTATTTACATGCAACTGACCCTTTGTGTCGTCTGTGAACAACTGGAACTCTAGATCTGTAATTAGATAGAACTTGAGTAGAATTTGCAGTTGGTAGTGAATTTGGGGCTTTTAGATCCTTGGGGTTTCAGCCCTGAATGCTTGGGGGAATCTATGCTACACAAATGTCCAGTGCCCATTGTCAGTTTAATTTGTAGCAAGGCAATTGGGGAATATTAAAAGCATTTAGGACTTGAGATGCTGGCTCAACTTCAACCTGACAACTTGAGGAAACCAACTTGGCATCTTCGTTTCTCAAAAAATGCAGTCGCCAAAAGAAATACAAATATCACCACCACAGCCAGCAACTGCTAATATAAGGTGGATGTGCCAATGCTCAATGAATACTTGCTGAGCAAATACATGAATATGGGGGAAATGGTATTTGGTGTAGTGATCTCCAAAAAAGAAGTTAGAATGTGAGCTTTGTTTTGCCTGAATGCTTGGTAATGTTACCTGAAATTTCACATAATACTTTTTTGAATAATAAGTAATACAAAAAATTTGTGAAAACTACCAATAGGTACAAAAGAAGAAATGAAAAGGTTTTGAGATCTGTGCCGCTTTGTTACTCTCCAGAAAGCTGCTACTTCTGTGGGGTATAAGAATGCCTGTTCCCCACATCTTACCAACATCAGGTGTTTTAATTTTTTAAATACGTTAATTTTATGGGCAAGGTATTTTTATGTATCTTCAATTCTAGAAAACCACTTATCTCCTGACTTCTGTTTGCATTTATTCTGTGGGATAATAGTTGGTATTTTGATCAGTCCCTGTTATGAGAATCTCTGTCGTGTGTTGGGGGAATTCTGCAATGTTCATTGTAGTGGCAACCTCCCTCCCTTTAGAGAAATAATCGTTCCACAGCTGCCCTATGGTGAGGTTCCTGGGTTCTGCTCATAAGATGCCCCCAGTTCAGAGCTAAGATGACAGTTGTAGAAAGATTGGGTTCCCGGGGAGCAGAAGCGGTAGTGTGACTGGTGTCATGCTGTCTAGTGTGTATTGATGCATATGTCTACAAAATGGGCTGCCTTATCCAGGAAGCAGCAGTACGGTAGAGATGTCCTCACTGGAACAGGTCTCTGCTGTGATTGTAGATAGTACTCCTAGCTTTGTACCTCCAAACCTGGATCTTCAGCTTCTGTGACAATTCTGTGACCTAGACAGGATTCTTTAATAAGCATCCTGTTTGCTCCAATAAGCCAACATAGGTTTCTATTACTTGTGACTCAATATTAATTGTTAAATAAATGAGTACCAATCCTGCTTGCTTCTAATATTACCTGGATGGTTGAAGACTGTATAAGCTCAAAGTTCTCAATTCCTGGCCTAGGTGGGAACTGTCTGTTATAGCACCAAAAAAATACCTTCTCTCTCGAAGCCACGGAGCAGAAGAAATGCAACGTAAACTTGAGGTTTGATCGCCAAGGTTGCTGAATTACTAAGTCGTTTGAATTCACTGTCATGTGTGAAAGGTGAAACCTCAGCATTGGGGTAGAAACACGGGGAAGGGTCAGAGTACAGTGAGATCCCAACTGTGAGTCTCATTTGTTGGTCAAAGCAGCCTTCTTGCCCTGTCCTACTTGAAAACTGCAATGACCTCCTTGCTAAGGGAATCCAACCCCCCTTGTGGCCTGTTCTCAACATCATGCACCATCCCCAGACCTTTATCTAAACACACATCCCAGCATGTCCTGGAATACCAATTACAAAGTCAAAACTGCAAAATTTTGCTAATTTTTATTTGCAAAAATCTGATAATACGTGCATGGATGGATCCTGCCAGCAAAAGAACGAGGAAAAAGGAGTATACTTTTAAATTGGGCTGAATTTATTGATATGGACTGACTTACCACTTACTTGGTATTTAGCATGGTAGCTCGAGTGAGTGTGCTCAGTGCCGTGCTTGGCAGCTAACTGATCAGAAAGTTAGAAATTTTGGAATGCATTTATCATGTTTGCCTAACTCTACCATGTCCTCTAAGAGGATTCAGAAGGTAATCCTTTCAGGCATTCAGATGTACATTAATGAGAATATTCCAGTCTTGGAAGAGTATCAAAGTGGTCATTCTCTGTAAGCCAAGGATGCTAGTGTGAGATATGAGGTTCCATGATTTCAGTGAAGTAATGTGGATCCCAGGGTGGCATAGTTTAAGTAGCAACTCAGAACCACTGGTGACAAGGTAGGTAGGGTCATCGTAACATGCATCAGAGCTAGTGTGATAATGGCTTGACCAGCTTTGATATTTGTGGGTAGCTAGGATTTAAAAAATGGCCCAATAGGTTCTACTTAATATGAGCAATGGAGAACAATTGCATACCTATTCAAGTTTACCGTTTCAGAATTCTTTAAATAAAGGGGAGACCAGATACCCTAGAGAGGGAGAAATCTACAATAACATCTTTTAGTGTCTATAAATCTTCTTATCCTTTCAAAGGAACCTGAACCTTTTACCTGGGTCACTGGGGATTTGGGGGAAAGGAAAAATGCCTAGACATTAGTTCTGAGCTAACACTAAGTCCTGGTGACTCAGAACATACTGTGGTTCTTCTGTCAGAATATGGGTTTTATGAAATTCAGGTGATGGAGATAAAACCCAAACCTGCCTCCTAGTAGGCCCAGTGGGACATTGAATGCATCCTTCATTTATTTCTTTTAATTCATGAATGTATTCTTGGAATATATATCATCAGCAATAGCAAAACCCTATAATGCATCCTGACCTATTATATTGGAAACAATGAAGTGGAAACCACTGGAATTCCTCTCAATACCAGGGGAATTAGTAAAAAGCAATACCACATCCCTGGGGGAACTTTAGAGAGAGATGTCATTATAAGCCACTTGTCATTATAAGCCACTTGAAACTGGCGAGATGTTGATTCCTATCATTTCCTGAAATAACTCTCTAATGTGCATAGGTCTTGGAGAATGCTGGTGGATTATCATAAACTTAATAGGCAGTGACTTCAGTTAAATCACGTTTTCCAGATGTGGTGTCTTTAATGAAGCAAATGAACAGAGTCTCAACTATTGATCTTGCAGTTCTTGCTGCCTCTATCTCAGATACAGAACAGCACTTTACTTGGCAAGGATAACAGTATACTTTCGCTACTTTGCCTCAGAGTTATGAAAACTCTTTAAGCCACAGTTTCATCTCTAGGGAACGTCATCATCTCATTAACCCCAAAGACACCAAGGTAGTTATGACATTAATGACTTCATGCTGATGTTATCTGCAGAACATGAAGTAGCAGCCGCTCTGCATATTTTGGCAAGACACACGCCAGAGAATGGGAGATACATTCATGAAAACACAGGGGTCTAATTGCTAGTGAAGTTTCTGGAGGATTCATTGGTTGGGAACATTTTAGGTTATTTACTACAGTTTGGATGTTCTACCATTAAGAAACAAACACAGCATTTAGTGGGTCTGTTTTTATTTAGAAAGCAGCCTATACCACATTTGGCTGTGCTGCTTGAAGCCACTTACTGTGTGTACCAGAAGCTGTCAGGGCTTCATTGATAGCCTCTTACCCTTACCTTATCACCAATTCAAGAAAACTTGGAACAGCCAGAACTTGCATTCTTTTTCTTGAGGGATTTGTCTGCCTGCCAGAGGATACTTCTTTGACCATTACACAAAGCATCTTGACATACTGTGATGCTGTATGAAGACTATATTAAGTGTCATTAGGAAAAATATAGCAAAAGCTCCTGAGGTTTGGGCTGAAAGTCATGTTCTTGGTTAAGTAGTCTATTGAGAAGTAGCTCTAAACTTGCTTTAAAGAGAGTAAATGTTTGACCATGACATGAGAGAGAACTATTCACTCTCAACTGCTCATGGTACATGCTGTGTGATTCACCCAGCCATATTTTTGGGTGTACTAAACTGTAATACACTTTCAAGTGGGGGTGGTTTATGTGGGATGTAGCTCAAGTGGATTTTTCTCAACTCACTCATGGTCTCCAGGGCAGGTTCCTATGACCCATTGATTGGGGGATGGGGAGAAGAAATGGACACTAACTACCACTGGCTCTGCATGATAAATTAGCACTAACCTGAAGTGGACTGTTTCAGTATACCCAGTACACTTGGGGTACCTACCCTCAACTTGTAAACTTCACCTTAACTGCCATTGTCAGCTACCATGACTGAATGCCCAACCTGCTAGTTGCAGCCCCCAATATAGTACCAGACCCAGTAGGAATTATCCAGAACCTAAGTATATCAATATATTATAATCAGGGAACAAAAGTAGCTTTAAGTTTGCCTTCCTTGCCTGCCATGCTTTAACCTGCCTCACCATTCATAGATTCGCTGCAGGCTTTATTTACCATAGTGGTGTCCTGCATGACATAGTTTTTGACCGGGAGCCTATTTTGCATCCAAAAAAGCAAAGCAATGGTTGAAGCAGCTGAGATTCACGTGGTCTCTTACAAATGACAGTGGAGTTGTGAAATGTGATTTAAATTTTCCAGCCTCTGTTGATCAGGAAAGCATATAGAAAAAAATAGAAATGAATGCTAAGGGCCAATAAATTATTTTTTGCAGCATATACAGTCACCCAAAATGGTAGAATGGCCTATGAAAGACTCTGTTACAGCTTCAGATCAGAAACTACCTTGTAAAGTTGAGGTGCTATCAGGTGGAATGTGACATATGCTTTGAACAATGTGTGATTGTATGTCTGTCATGTACAGAATATATGCGTTTTGGCCATCAAGGGGGAAAGAAAAGGGAATGGTTTCTCTTACGGGTATAGCCAATGACCTCATAAAAGATTTACTTTCTGTATCGCTCAGGGTTCAGTGCAGAAAACAAAAATCACTCCAGGTATTTTAGCCGAAAGGGGTTTAATACAGGTAATTAGGTGCTTATGAAATCATTGGAAGACTAGAGGAGTTAGAATCAGGAGTCATTTCAAGAACAATTAAGTCAGGAAAACTCCATGCTGGTATAATTCTGGAATCAGGTAGGCGAAGACATGTTTGGAATGGTGAATATCTATCAGTCGTATTTGGGACACTTCCCATCTCAGAAATTCTGGAATCTCCTGCTATAGAGGCTTAGCACCCACAGGAAGGCACTGAATTGGAGGGTGAGCCAGCCCACCTAGCCTTGTCAGAATTCTTGTGCCATTCAACAACTGTACGAAAGATGGTGTTTGAGGTTGGCATGGCAGATTGTTTCTGTCAATAAATATCACTATCTAATAGCAACAAGAAAGAGTACGGAGCCCAGGGGATGCTTGAGGGTGCCTTCTTGTACTGCTCCAGTGATAAAATGTAATGAAAGAATACATCAATATCTCAGATCCCTCAGGAATGAAGGTTTAGGTCATCATATTGGATAAAGAAACTTGGTCAGGTGAGTAGCAGAGTGAAATTGAAGAGAACCTGGAAGGAGCAAAGGAGGGAAAAATACCCACTTATAGTATCAGGTCCATCTGCCCATATTTTCTTATGATCTCATCTATACCTATATATCTTAACAAATTTTCTTCTCTTTTCCTCTTTCTCTTCCCTACTACCTTACATTGTATATGTTAATGACTGCTCACTTTACAGTTTTGTCTACAGAATACAGAATATTGAAGGACGATAGCTTTTGGACTTACAGCTGGATCCATGAATTAAAAGGTGTTTGGGGTTTCCACCATTGGAGGAGGGAAGAATTGAATGCTTTTAGATGAGATGAGGATGTTTGTGTTATGTTAGGCACTAGCTTTCTTAGGAGGGTAGGAGAGAAAAAGTATGAGGAAGAAAAATACATGTTGATGTGGAGCAAAGGGTGGTGTTGCGGTGAACATTGGTCATCCTTTGTGATGACCCAGTATCTGGACGTCTTTCTAGACATATTCCCTTGTCTTATGAATCTTGTTGCAGGCAGTCTCTACCTCTTGCTGATAATGCTGAAAAGGCCATGTAGTTGCTTTCCTACCACATTGCAAGCACATCATCCAGACTGTAGGGATGACTCCTAGGGTCACAGGAAGGCACAACCTCAAGGTCATTTCCTTGGTTGGCACAGTGGCTGCAGACAGATTGCATTCCTGGGACAGCAGTGCTGGTGCATTAGTCGGGACGTCCCACATTTCCAGCTTGTGTTCTCTAGTGCTCATCAGTGACGGGAGTAGTGTCCCCCATCCACTGGATCTGTGCCATGATTTGGGGAGCCTTTCTCTGTGTTGCCCCAAATCTGGCTCTTGAGCCTTCCTGAGAGTTCTGTATATTACCGACCACCCTTTTTCCTTTTTTCATCATCTGTGGTTGGTTTTATCTCGCTTCCCACAAGGAAAATCAACCTATTTAATGATACAATGGAAAGAATGCTGGACTTGTAGACAAGGGCCTAGGTTGGAAATAAGAGCTGCCACTTAGAGGCCATGTGACCTGAGGCATATTATTTAACCTCTCTGAGTCACAGCTTCCTTATCTGTCAAATGGGAATAAAATTTCCCACCTCAACTATTTAGCATCAAGATTGAAGGAGCTAACATGTACGAACATTCTCAGGCCTGTGCCTGTCACATCTTTTTCTTGTTGTTTCTGTTTTAAACTAGCAGTACAGAGGGACTATTTAGTGTTTGAGCACAGAATAACCATGCTGTTATTATAGTATATGGCTATGTTTAATATTACTTTTATTAAAATGTCCTGGAAAAGAATATGTTGTCTCACTTGTTTCTGAGAGTGCATGGAGTTATGGAGTTGCAGTTGGTAATTCTGAATGCAAGTGTTCTTTACGTGTTGTTTAAGCGCTTCCATAGCATATAGTTCAAATTTCTAAGGGTAATCCTGGGAATTGTGGAGAAGCAATATGTGCTTTTATATCTGATTGCTGTTAGAAAATTTCATAAACCTGGTGACTATATTAATAAGTATGCCATTTGTGGTGAAAGGCAGCCTGTTTATTTTTTCAATCAGATTATTCTTACAAAGGAATGTTATATAAGAAAGTATAAATAATAATTAAACAAATACCTATATACTCATCATTCAACTAAAGCCTCTTGCGTAACTCCCCCTGAAGCCTTTTCCATTCCTCCCTTCCAGCAATAGATGCATAAAAAATGCCAGGAATTATGTACAACAAAGTGTAGCAGAGGCAGGAATCATGAGGTATTTTAATTTTCTTCATTTCTGTTAAGTTTGAATTTTTCTAAGTGTATACATTTTTCCATTTATGAAAAATAATACATTTAAAAAAGAAAAAGACCAAGCATATTAATTGTATTACAACAATATAAATTAATGAATTTAGAAAATATAAATACAGTAGACTTGATATAGTCATGTGTTGCTTTAACAATGTGGATTTATTCTGAGAAATGAATCATTAGGTGATTTCATTGTTTTGTGAACATTGTAGAATATACTTTACACAAACCTAGATGGTGTAGCCTGCTACACACCGAGGCTTATGGTATAGCCTATTGCTTCTAGGTTGCAAACTTGTATAACTTGTTACTTTACGAATACTATAGGCGACTATAACAAAATGATAATATTAAGGTAATGGGCTGCCCTACAAAATCACTAGGTAATAGGAATTTTTCAGCTCCATTAAAATCTTAAGGAACCACCGTCATACATGCTGTTTGTCCTTGATCAAAATGTCATTGTGCAGCTCATGACTGTATATAAATACATTAAGTTTCAGAAGCATGCTAGCAACAAGTATTTAAACATTGAATAGTTTTTCCAGTTTAATTACTCTGCAATTTGTAGAAATTAAAAAGGCAGACCCTAAAGCCAGTGAATGTGGTTTCAAACCATCGCCAACACTTAACTAGCTGTGTAGTCTTGAGCAAACCACATAATCCCTTTGTGCTTCAGTTTCCTTACCTACAAAATGTGGATAGTTACAGAATAAGGCTCGTAACCTCTGAGGGTTAGGTGGGCAACTACTTAGAACAGTGGTGCATATATTTCATTCCATACGAGAAATGGAATTCTGGGAAATGTAGTTCAGCCTCACCAAATTGACAAATTACAAAGCCATCACATTCTTCTACAGTCTTTTTTTTTTTGAGACAGAGTTTCACTCTGTCACCTTGGGTAGAGTGCTATGGCATCAGCCTAGTTCACTGCAACCTCAAACTCCTGGGCTCAAGCAATCCTCCTGTCTCAGCCTCCCAAGTAGTTGGAACTACAAGCACACACCACCATGCTCTGCTGATTTTTTATGTTTTTTGTACAGATGGGGTCTCTCCTTTGCTCAGGCTGGTCTGAAATTACTGAGCTCAGGTGATCCTCCCACCTCAGCCTCCCAGAGTGCTAGGATTACAGGTGTGAGCCAATTTGCCCAGACTCTATTTGCTTTTATAAAATTTTTATTACATAAAGAATTATTGCTGTTCTCTGATTCACTCATTTGGTTTTCACTAGTTTCTATTCTGCTCTTCACTGCCATTATATTAAACACTCTCTATCCTTTTCTTAATTGCAGTGAATTCATTCTTGCTTTCAGATGGTGGCCATTCCTTTTGGCCATTCCTCCTCTTTTTCATTTTTTTCTATTCTGATTTTTTTCAATAATGAAATAGCCTCTGTAATCTCACTGAGACCACAAGTTAAAGATTACTCTTTCCTACACTGTCATTAGGTAATTTTTCCTCATTGCCTGATACTTACAAATTAAGATCTGTATCTAGTGGTTTCCAAAAATGACTATGACTTAAACTCAACAAAAGGCTTTATTAAAAATACAGATCTCTATGTCCTACCTCTGAAGATTCTGATTTGAAAATTCTAGGTAAGACCCAGGATCGTTACTTTTTAGAATAAGTGTCCAATACTTTGACACTACTTAGTGTTTTGGAAGCTTTGATCCAGGTTGTTTAGTATTTATAGCTAGTATAGGCTCATACTGGCTGCAGTGGTAGTCTTTTTCTATTCAATTTTTCTTATTAGAGTATTCTCGCAGCATATCAGAAGTGCATTACAGGTAGGTCTTACTTTCCCCATCCACAAACAATAGGCGGCAGCTGATCATTAAGTGGTTCCTTTGTGACTGTAGACGTTGGGTATGACAGGCTGGCAGATGGGCTTCTTGAAGAGTATACTGTATGCGTTAAATATACGCTGAAAAGTAGATGATAAATGGAGAATTGATTAGCCAGCAGTAGAATTGTTGGACAATTCAGTGTGGTTTGTTGTGGGGGACCCTACAGGTGATTGTCACCTCTTGGGACTTAGTACCGGAAGTCCTATCCAGAACAATCAGGCAAGAGAAGTAAATAAAAGAGAAACAAATCTGGGGGAAAAAAGTCATTGTTCCTCTTTATTGATAACATTGACAAACTAGAGACTCCACTGGAAAACTTATAAAGAACTAATAAATTCAGTACAGTTGCAGGGAATAAACATCAGTAGCATTTCTATATAGCAATAATGAACTAGCGAAGAAAGAAAGCAAGAAGGCAATCCCATTTAAAATAGCCATGAAAAAATACCTAGGAATAAATTTAACCAAGGCAGAGAAAGACCTCTTGAGGAAAACTACAAAACATTGATGAAAGAAATTGAAGAAAATGTCAACAAATGGGAAGGCATCCATAATCATGGCTTGGGAGAATTACTATTGTTAAAATGAGCATACTACCCAAAGTAGTAATCCGCAGAGTCACTGCACTCCCTATCAAATTACCAATGACATTCTTTACAGAAATAGCAAAAATAATCCTAAAATTTGTATGGAACCAAAAAAGAGCCTGAATACTGAGCTAAAAGCAATAATGAGCAAAAAGAAACAAAGTTGGAGGAATCACACTACTGTACTTCAAAATATACTACCAAGCTAATAACCAAAACAGCATGGTATTGGTAGGAAAACTGACATGAAGACCAATGGAACAGAATAGAGAACCCACAAATCACACATTTACAGCCAAACGATTTTGACAAAGGTACTAAGAACATACATTGGGGATAGGACATTTATCTTTGATAAATGATGCTGGGAAAACTGGAAATCCACATGCAGAAGGATGAACTAAACCACTATCTCTCACTATATACAATAATCAACTCAAAATGGATTATGGACTTAAGTGTAAGACCCAAGACTATAAAATTACTAAAAGAAAACATGGATGTAGTGCCCCAGGACATTGGCCTATGCAAGGATTTTATGGCCAAGACTTCAAAGGCACAGGCAACAAAATCAAGAATAGACAAATGGGATTAAATTAAACTAAAAAACTTCTGTACAGCAAAGGAAACAACAGAGTAGAGAACCTGGTAAACGAAAGAAAATATTTGCAAACTACTCATCTGAAAAGGGACTGATACTTAGAATATATAAGGAACTCAACTCAACAGTTAAAAAACAATAATCCCAGTAAATGTGGGCAGAGGATCTGAATAGACATTTTTCAAAAGATCTACAAATGGCCAAAAGGCATATGAAAAAGTGCTCAATGTCAGTAATCATTAAGAAAATGCAAATCAAAATTGCAATGAGATATTATCTTGTGGCAGTTAGAATGTCATCAAAAAGGCAAAAATTAATAACAAATGCTGGTGAGGATATATAAAAAAAGGGACTCTTAAACATTGTCAGTGGGGATGTAAATTAGTACAGCCATTACAGAAAACAGTATGGAAGTTTCACAAAAAACTGAAAATAGAACAATCCCACTACTGATATTTATCTAAGGGAAAGGAAATCAGTATCTGAAAGGGATATCTGCACCCCTATGTTCATTGCAGCACTATTCACAATAGCCAAGATAGAAAATCAACCAGGTGTCCATCAATGGATGAATGGATACAGAAAATGTGGGATGTGTAGATCTCATGATAAAATACCCTTCAGCCATAAAAAAGAATGAAATTCTGTCATTTCTAGCAACATGCATGGAACTAAAAGTCCTTATGTTAAGTAAAATTAGCTGGGGGCAGAAAGACAAATATGTCATGTTCTTACCCATATGTGTGAGCTAAAAAGGTTGTTCTCAGGGATGTAGAGACTCGAGTGATAGTTACCAGGGGCTAGGAAGGGTGTGGGGTGGGGATGAAGAGAGGTGGCTAATGGGTACAAATACACAGTTAGACAGACGTAATAAGATCTAGCATTCAATAGAATGAAAGGGTGACCATAGTTAATAACAATATATTATATATCTTATATATTTCAAAGTAGCTAGAAAATTTGAAATATTCCCAATGTAAATGATAAATGTTGGAGGTGACATATATCCTAAATATCCTGATTTGGTCATTACACGTGGTGTGATGTCTCAACACATCACATGTACCCCATAAATGCATACATATATTATGTATTAATACAAAAATTAAAAAACCATCGTGTTCCTTAAAACTATATGGAGTGTTTTTACGTTAGTCATTGTGATGAAAACCATTGATAAAGCCTGCTCAGCAATAGTTTTCCACATACTAGAGAAAAACATAGAAGCTAAATTTGGAACTACTTCAACTTCTTTGGAACGCAGTCAACTGGGCGGAGAGCAGGCATACGGAGGAGAGTTTTAGCCTATTTACGCTCCTTCGCAAACAACACACATTTCTAAGTTTTAAAAAAATCTATGTCTATGTACTTATTTTTTTGGCATTTTCAATCATTTCCATAGTAGCTGATAAGTTACATCATTTTCTTCTCCACTTACATATTGGGAAGGGTGTGGCGTGAAGATCTGATGGTGGTTCTCAGATATGAATGTCAGTCCACAAGGGAAGCCACCGCCTGGCAGACAGCTTTGATACCAATTCTAGATTTCTTTCTCGCTCAGTGGGCTACCTATATATAAAGAGAAATAGGACCATGGTGGCTTGCCTCGATATTATCAATGAATACACTGCGTTTTGTTAGTCTTAAGTTAAGCAAGTCATTTCAACAGAGCTTGACAATGCAGATGGAACTACTGTGTGGCTTATAAGATTTTTTTTTTTTTTTTAATTGTGATTCTTCTGGGAAACGGAAAAGATTCTGGCTAGTCAAGGGGTAAATGTTTCTGGAAAAATAAAGAAGACAAAGGAAGGGTTGCCAAGCACCAAAATGAATGTGGATTTGAAGTAAACGAGAAGAGGGAAAATGAAAATGACTCAAAGTGTTTTGCACGTCTCAGAGCATGTGTAGTTATTTGTATGCCATTGCTTGTGACATAGCTCGTGATGTCACCCAGTCCTGGTCCTGGAGAGGAATCTCAGTGTGCCCAATGTTAACCATAGTGTGATGGGCTGTGCCAGAAGTTTAAAGAGAAACACATGATTCCTGGATTGCTCTGGTATCTAATTGGATACCGAGTAGTGGGAGAATGTTGAATAAGAGCAAGAAAAAAACCCTGGCATGTCTTTTGTTGAAATTCAATCCCCTCTCTCCTCCCCCCCTACCAGTCTGAAAACTTTTCAATCACTTTTTTTTTTTAAAGGATACAGTGGATTTTATCACAATTTTATCAATCAAAACCACATGTGCTTGCTCCATTGATGACAGAAAATAACAGAAATCATATTTGTTAAGACCAAAACTCAGGTAATAAATAACTGGCATGCAATGTGAAATATAACGTTCCTTAAAAGAAACCATGAATGGTGCCTAAACATTTAATCTGGAGAGTGAAATGAACTTTTTGAAGAGGAAACCATATGAAGTTACACTCATGGCTCAATCACTTTTTTTCCCTATCAGACCTCAATTGTGTCTTTCTGTCCTGGGGCTATAATGCTCAGCAAGTATGCTTCTGCAAGCTCCCCAAACTTAGTGCTGCAGACTAAGCTTCCCAAGCGTGGGTTATGGTCACAACCACGTTTTAGAGCAGAGATCTGCAAACTACCAACTGCAGGCCACCTTTGGACCAATGCCTGTTTTGTGAATAAAGTTTTATTGGAACACAGCCATGTCCTTTCATTTCCATGTTGTCTATAGCTGCTTTTATGGTCCCATTGCAGAACTGAGTGCTTGTGAAAGAGACCTAGAGTGGCCCACAAAGCCTAAAATATGTATTAATGTGACCTTTCACAGACATAGTTTACTTAACCCTTCTTTTAGATGATCGAGGGTATTCAGACAAAATGCAGTCATAATAACTGGCTCCTGGGGATCAAGGATTAAGAAGAATGGTGGTAACTTAAGAAACATTTCCTCCTAATTCTCGGGCCATGACATTGTTTTGTTTTTAGTGGTGTAAGGAAGACTAATCCTGTGTACGTGACTAAGGTCATCTGCAGCCATTCAAAGACCTGCATTCTGTATTACTGAAATTATTTGCTCAGGGGGTTGGCTTTGGCACGTAGCCAGAACTTGTCTGTATAGACCCTTGCCCACATCCTGGTTCAGAAGGGGCCTGGCTACACCCTGAATGCATAGTAGCTGCGCTAAGGAGCGTGGAAGCTTCAAGTTCCTCGTTTGACATCATCGTTGTGGAATGGTGTGTCCTAGGCTTCGTATCCCAGGATAGTTGAGAACTAATCATAGCCTTGCTTTTTGGAAAGTGATGAATGTTCGGGTGTCATTTCGGTCTGTTTTTATTTTTAGCCTTGGAACCCGTTTGATTTTCGGAATGCTATCAATTTTAGGACGATTGCGTAAAGAGAACAAAAGAAATGTAATCGTATCTTGAACAAGATCTTTGATCACTTAATTGATGAATTAAAGACTTTCAGAGGCCGTGCACCAGGCGGAATGCTTCAGATTTACCGGTAATTTTAGAAGTGCTTTGTTATTAGTTCCTTATTTCCAGCCGTCCTGCAAAAGGTATTTCGAAATGTACATTAAAGTCAAAGCCAAGCTGCCTCTCTTCTCCGACGGCTGCAGAGCTCCAGGGAACTTTTCTAGGAAGGCAATGTCAGGATATTTGGAAAGGTTAATTCATCTCTAGGTGATAGGAACCAGGTTGTGTCCATTTGAAATGAAAAGAATGAAAGGAGGAGGGGGACAAAAAATGAGACACTTGGAAAAAAAAAATACAGGCTTCATAACCAGAGAAAATAACCATGAAATGTGTAAGGCCTGTGGGCCTTTGCTTAAAAGAAATCGGGCTGGGGGCACTTGAGAATTTTAATGGTGATATGAAAGGTCGCTACTTTGATTAGATATTTTCAGGTGATTGATACTCCCTCCCTCCACTGCGTCATTGTTGGTAAGTATGGGGATGGTAGTTAATGTTAGCAGACTGGTTCGATTTTGTGTTCTGCTTATCTAACAAAGCTGAGATGCCAAGCCGATCTCTCAGCCACCTCTTCCAGCTCTAGCTTGTTTGTGCATCGGAGTGATAGAACATCTTTTGAATTTTCCCCTGTCACTCGGAAAATAAGCTGAATCTGTTCTGTCCAAGGCAATCCTTGGACGCCAGGGACTCCTGGTGCCTTTGTGCTTTGCAGCACGAAGAGAGGAGGGGAAACGTGGATGGCATGAGACACCCGTGGACTCTGGAGGCAGATAATAGAAATAGAGTTTGTTGTACATACAACCATGGCCAAGATATTGAAATATTTTAAAATTAGGGACCAAAGTTTAATTGGGGGCATCTTTGCCTGACTCCAAGGAGGTAGTACAGAGAGTGGTGAATTGTGAGCCAGAGATTGGCATTCTCATGCTGATATATTATGAGTCCATATTCACAATTTCTCTTTAATTTGGGACATGCTGATGTCTTAGCCTATTTGGGTTGCTGTTAAAAAAAAATGCTGTAAACTGGGTAGCTTTAAAACTATAGAAATTTATTTCTTACAGTTTTGGAAGCTGGGGAGTCTACATCAAGGGGTGTCTGGTGAGATCCTACTTCTTCATAGATGGTATCGTCTTGCAGTGCCCTCACCTGGTGGAAGGAGCAAGGTGTCTCTCCCAGGCTTCTTTCATAAGGGCACTAATTCCATTATGAGGGCTTCACCCTCATGACCTCATCACCTCCCAAAGGCCCCACCTCCTAATGGCCTTGTGGGTTAGGGTTTCAACATAGGAATTTTGGGGAGGACATAAACATTCAGACCATAGCAGCTGGGTATGTGAATGGTCCCATTTATCAGTGGCAGAGACACATGGGTACAGAGTTTCTTAGACCATTTTCTTAAAGGGGCCTGTGAAGTAGGCTGTTCTGTTACTTGAAAAGAGAGAAGAATTAGATAAATGTGGCATGCTTACACCTCTCTGAGACAGTTAGAACACACTTGGAAATGAGTTTAATTTTGGGGACCACAGTTTAAGAGGTATATTGCAAATTAGAATGTCCAGTATGGTAAGAGGACTTGAAAATGGGTATCTGTTCACTCAGTGAAGTGTTGAGTATTTATCCTGCATCAAACACTATACTAGCCATAATACCATACATCAAACACTATACTAGCCATAATACCATACATTGGTAAAAGAAAAATGGAAACTACCTTCATGGAAATTAAGTCTCCAGAGAAACATGGAATAGTTAAATAAACACACATAAGCTAGCTAGCTAGTTCAAACTTATGAGGGAGCTATCATAAATAGGTAGTCATTAGTGGGCCCTAATTTAGAAAGTGTCACAGACACTAATAAATAATATTTAAAACAAGGTTGGGAGGATGGGTAGAGCAGGTTGAAGAACATTCTGGAGATGGGAGGAAATAGGGCATGTGCTAGGGACTGAAAGGAAGCTGCTTGTCACTCTAATGCTGTAGAGGGGAGGTGGGAGAGAGAGGTAGCATCAGAGAGGAAGGCTTGGATCAGATTATCCAAGGTTTGAGGGTTCATGGATAGGAGGCTGAAACTTACTCAGTGTCTTGGGAAGCCATTGAGGGTTCCAGGCAAGGGAGTGACATGGTCTCCTGGAAATTTTAGAAAGATTGTTCTTGGCTCCCTAGGAGAAGAATGGCTAAAGAGAGGGGAGCCAGGAAGGAGGCAGGTAAGAGACTGCGTAAGCCAGGGCTGGAAATGATTATGACAGCTGTGATGGACAAAAAAAAAATGTGTATGGATTCATGTACATTGAAAATAAAAATCAGCAGTTCTTGTGTTAAATTGCTGGTAGAGGCAATAATTGGTGATGAATCAAACATGACTTTTAGGTGACTGACATTTGATACATTGGGAAGGAACTTATCTAAGGAATAGAGTAGGGAAAAATCCAGAGGCAGGACTGGAGAAACCAGATGTTTGGCCTGGGTGAAAACTCCAGGAAGAAGCGCTTCATACTCATCCTTAAATCAGTGGTTCTTAACTACCTGAGGAGTCCCCGATTTTAGAATCTGGTGATAGCCAAGGACCCTCTCTATAAAACCAGGCTCAAACATATCATATAGGATATAATTTTAAAGAGCTTTATGGACCATCTAAAGCTGATCTATACGTTGTTCGCAGACCCTAGCTTAAGAACCCTTCTTTTAAATATGTGAAGGTCTGCCTTATGCAAGACAAAGTGACCGAGAATCAGTATTGGACAATCTGGATTAAAGTTCCTTCAATTTTCTGATTCTCAAATTCTCAGTTAGTTACATGAGATTAATAATGCCTGCTTCATCCATTTAAATAGCTGTTCTAAGATTTAAATAAGGCAGTATTATCTTAATTACTATGGCCCTGTAACTGCTAATACTTTTGACAAATAAACCCATGTGGAGGTAGATACAGCTTGGTTGAAGATGAACTCTTATCGTAGCTGTTAATGGCCAGAAAGGACTACCTGGTGAAATGGTGATTTGTGAAATTGTTCAAGTGGAATCTGAATGATGTCTCTCTCTAAATGAGTTGGGAAGTGTGGGACTTGAAGAACTCTAAAACCCTACCCCATGTATGGTTGTCACCAAAGCCTAACTACATGTAAATTT